CACCTGTTTCTGCCCTAGGATGGCAGAGTGCTTTACAAACATTAATTAGCTCATTGCCGGAGAAAGGGATCATTTATGTTTTGCTCACAATCCAGTCACACAGACTTTAGTGGCTGAACTGAAAGTAAAACCAATATTTCCAAAATGCAAAATCTTCTGCCTTAACTGCTACACACACACTCAAACCAGGGTGGATAAAAAAAAAATTTTAAATCAATGATATTTTTAAATTTAAAAAATTGCTTTTGATTTATTAGGGGGCTGTGCCTACTGCTCGTTTTGCTCACCTACCCTCCTCTCTCGTGGCTTTAGCAGTCAGAGAGCATGAAAGCATGATGAGATCAGAGCGTAAGAGCATCATTCTGTTGCCCAGCAGGAACATTTTTCACACACACACACACACACACACACACACACACACAGCTTGACAAACGGAGGAGAAACCTACTCGCCAGCCCTGCACTACACATGCGCAAACCCGCATTGCGTGTGCGCACGCCGCCGGTGAACAGGGCAACCGGCTGAAATCTACTCGCCACAGGCGAGCAGATTCAGTGATTTGTCGAGCCCTGTGCATAGAGTGAGAAAAAAAAAAAATCAGATTCTCATTTAAATCTGATTTTATTTAAAAAAAACTAAGTTTCTCATTTAGAAATAACAGTCACAATTAAATCACATCACAAACATGCTAAACCTACCATTTCAGTCTCAAAAATGAATTTTGACACCAGTCTGTCCAGCCTAACTACTAGCTATTGCTTCCTGAAAGTTCTGGGATTTCAGTTTCTGTTTCTCGACAGACTAAAGCAACATATGCAAAGAAAGACACAGGTTGGATAGGATTGTTTTTGTTCTGTGCTCATGTGATTGTGGACCTAAGCCAAGCACAGCAGAGGAGTTAGTTAAGACATTTCCTTAAAGACAGAAAGACAATATATAGCAAAGTATGGAAACAGCATAGAAAGGAACAATGGAGTGGACTTGAAAGAAAACGAGAAGACACTCTGTACACATACCACGTCCTATAATCCCCCACACTTCTGCCACACAAAAAAACTGTCATGTATTCTGGGAGTGAGAGAGATCCTACCTGGGAATATTTTTAAGAAAGGTATTCCCTGGGTAAAAACAGAAAACATGTCAAGTGTAAGAAGAGCAAAAAAGAAGATGATGCAGGGCTTCTTCATAAGAACGAAACTTCATACGGAAAAAGTGGGAGAAAACGTGGATGTGACTGACTGGATCAAACGGTTAGCAACGTAACTTAAATAATTCACTTCACAATGTATCATTCTTCAAGACTCTTTGCCTTTTAGCACAAATGTGATTTGACAACTAAATTCCCAATATTACTTGCTATATTGGATGTTATCACAAAAATAAGTTTAGTTCAGCTAATCCTTATGGCTTGTTTAATTAGCTAACTAGTATACGCTACAAAAAGCTGCAATGAAAGAAATCTAGAGTTGATGTTACCACTGTCATTTTCTTATTCTATATTACATAACACATGCCCCTTATTTTGGAACATCATGGCCACAGACCATAATGGTGATGCCATAAACCTATTCTCTGTTTTACTTCAGCATTCACAAGAACAGCCCATCCTATATTGTTTTCTCAAAAAACATAAGTGCCATTGAGCTCGATGGACCTTAATCCAAAATTAAGTGCACTCTTAAGTCAGTCTTAGCTTTTTTTGATAACTTGGAATCAGATCTGCAGTCTTGCTGAAAAAATGTAAATTAACTGAATAACAGAGTGAAAAGAACTGAGAAGGATGAATATTCAAATTCATTTCTGATTTGTGTTTCAGGATCCCATTTAAGCACAAAATCTCTTAGACTGCCTATCTGCAACAACTTCAGAATCATCCGTTAGTACTTTTTAGCAGCAATGCTGCCACTAGACGTATTTCAGACAAAAAAGTATCAGTAGCATGCAAAAGATTTCAGTCATCCAGTAAAATCATCACCATGGCTGGAATTGTAGTAAACACCAGCAAATACCAACAAGACACCATAGATGAAAAGTGTGCTCAGTTTATTTATGCAACAATTCTCACATTTGTGCATTGTTAACAATAAACACCTTCATTGACATGGTAAAGTCCTTACGACTATACCACACTCTACCTGGTGGTAGAGTGGAAAGTTGCCAGATACAATGTACGAGAAGAAACCTGAACAGGATGCACGAAATAACAAGGGAAATTTGCCAGTTTCATGGGTGGAACAATGTACACAATGATCCCGTAATATGTGTTTCATGTGACAACAGAAAATAGGGGTTCCATATCTTTCAGAAACAGCATCAGGAAACACCTACTCAACATACTATTTCTAAGAAGCTGAAAGCAGCTGTAAAACTGAACAAAAACACAACTGTCATGTGCAGTTTTCTCACAGGCATCATACTCAGAAGAAATGGAAGTATGCTCCTTAACAGATGGCTGCAGTGCCCATTTATTGCATCTTTTAGACAAAGACATAAATGTGTCATCTCCAGGAGTAAAAGGAAATGCTGAAGTCATGAAATACATAACCATTTTGCTTCAGCTTTACTGAAGAGAGCAGGAGAATCCAAATTAATTCACTCTCAAAATGTTTAATGGAATTCTGTGGTTCTTTTCTATAAGGTATTAAGAACTAATCTATTGTCATAAAACTTTGAAGAAAGCCATGATTAAACAGTCTCTCATCCAAAGTATCTAACATTGGATTAAAGAGAAATGTAGAAGACACACTTAATATACTGAAAACTATTAACCACTGCCTTAAATAACTTCAGAGCAATTGCTTCTGTATTGCTGCTGCTGGTGAAATTTGGAAGGCACTTCAAGAGGTACTGAGAAAGGAAATACCTCACCAGAAAGTTAAACTACATACAGCAGTGGTCACCAACCAGTAGATCGGAATCTACCGGTAAATCTTTATTAATGACCTGGATGAGGGGATGGATTGCACCCTCAGCAAGTTTGCAGATGACATTAAGGTAGGGGGAGAGGGCAGGAATAGGGTCCAGAGTGACCTACACAGATTAGAGGATTGGGCCACAAGAAATCTGATGAGGTTCAACAAGGACAAGTGTAGAGTCCTGCACTTGGGACGGAAGAATCCCAAGCATTGTTACAGGCTGGGGACCAAATGGATAAGTAGCAGTTCTGCAGAAAAGGACCTGGGGGTTACAGTGGATGAGAAGCTAGATAAAAGTCAACAGTGTGCCCTTGTGGCCAAGAAGGCCAATGGCATATTAGGTTGCATAAGGAGGAGCACTGCCAGCAGATCTAGAGAAGTGATTATTCCCCTTAATTCAGCTCTAGTGAGGCCACATCTGGACTAGTGTGTCCTGTTCTGGGCCCCCCATTATAAAAAGGATGGGGTTGCATTTGAGAGGGTCCAGCAGAGGGCAACCAAAATGATTAGGGGGCTGGAGCACATGACCTATGAGGAGAGACTGAGGGATCTGGGTTTGTTTAGTCTACAGAAGAGTGAGGGGGGATTTGATAGCAGCCTCCAACTTCCTGAAGGGAGGTTCCAAAGAGGAGAGAGAGACTGTTCTCAGTAGTGACGCATGGCAAAACAAGTAGCAATGGTCTCAAGTTACAGTGGGGGAGGTCTAGGTTGGATATTTGGAAAAACTATTTTCCTAGGAGGGTGGTGAAGCACTGGAATGGGTTACCTAGGGAGGTGGTGGAATCTCCAGCCCTAGAAATTTTTAAGTCTCAGCTTGAAAAAGCCTTTCCTGGGTTGATTTAGTTGGGATTGGTCCTGCCTTGGGCAGGGGGTGGATTTGATGACTTCCTGAGGTCTCTTCCAGCTCTATGATCTTGAAGCTTATGACAGGTGATCCTGACGGGCTTGGTTGGGAAGCTACGAAGACCTGGAACTTCAGTTGCCCCTCCATCACTGCCCTGCTGCTCCTGCCTTCTACCTTGGAGCAGTCCCTTGGGAGCCCCCTGCTTGCTTGGAGGACATGGAAGGGAGAATGGGGGTGCTGATGTCAGCATGTTCCTCCTCCCCCCACTCCTGTACTTATCTCCGTACAAAGGGAAGGGGATAGAGGGAGCTTGGCAATACAAATCTCTCTGTCTCACACACTGTGTGTGGTCTGTCACTCACAAACACACACTGTCCTTCACTCATCTCCCAAGTCAACACATACGTGGGGGGTGGTTGTTACTTCTTTTACTGCTTGCAAAATGTGTTACTTTGGGGTTTTGACTGGTCTGTGCATTTCATAATTTTCATTTCTCTTACTCCTATATTTAATTCTTTGAATAGTGAGTTCTAAAATGCCTAACCTGTTGTGGCTGGAGTCATTATCCCTGTAGTAATTGCTGCTCCTGGAAGTGGCTGGCATGTCCCTGTATCCCCTGAGAAAGGCAGAGCAGGGGGTCTCCACATGCTATTCTTACCTGCAGACACCACTCCTGAAGCTCCCATTGATCAATAATGGGGAACCGTGGCCAGTAGAAACTGTGGGCTCAGTGCCTGTAGATGAGGGACAGCACGTGGCACCAGGAACCCATTGCTGGTATTTGCCAGCTGTTTTCAGGAGTGGTGCTGGGCCAGGGCAGGAGTAAGTCTGCCTTAATCCCACTGCTCCACCACCCAGAAGCTGTCTAAGTTAAACAGTGCCCAGGCAGAGGCTGCTTCTTGACCCCCTGTCCCAGCCCTGAACCTCCTCCTAACCCAGACATGAGTCCCCCTGCACCCCCAACTCCTTCCCAGAGCTTATGCCCTGAGGCCCCTCGTAGACTCCAATCCTCCACCCTGGGCTAAGCCCAGAGCCCTTCCAACACTCCCAACCCCTTAGCCCAAGACCAGAGCCTATACCACCTTACACCAGCCTTATGAAAGTGAGTGAGGATGGGGAAGGAAGAGAGATGGAGTGAGCAAGGTGAAGCCTCAGAGAAGGGTTGGAGCAGGGACAGGGCCTCAAAGAAGAGAGGGGAAGGAAGTGGAGCAAGGGAATTTGGGTTTGAAGTAGATCTTACATTGCACTTAAATTTAAAAAGTGATTTTGTGGTTAAAAAGGTTGGAGACCACTGACGTACAGCAAAGCAGTAAATGGATCAAACACTAACCCCGCCTCATTTTCTTGTGCACATTCTTAACACCAGATATAAAAGTCTACTTTTATACCCATGTTCTGAAAATGATGCTGCCATTGCATAGGTATCTCAAAAATCACTCGTCATAATAAATGTCAGGGCTTGAGCAAAACCATTTAATCCTTAAGTATTTACTGATGATGTTTTGAACAAAGTCACTCCCCTGAACTGGTAAGAACAATTAGCCAGGCTCTTTAAGACAAAGTTCCTTCAGTTGCTAAGCCAACTCCTCTGCAGGCACAAAATATTGTCATTGGTTGGTATTATTTTTACAAATCTAAGAAATAGACTGGATTTGGAAAGGCAGGAAAACTTGTATTTATTTCAGTCTATAAAATCAAAACGACAGTGGGAATGAGAAAGAAGAGAGCTAGTTGTAGAAGTTTTAAGGATACTGTACATTTAGTGTTGTGATGACTTGTCGGTTAGAGTTAATAAAATCTGAAAATTAAAAAGAGAGAGACTATGTAAGGACTGCCATCAGCCAGCAACTCAGGAGTCGGCTGCAAATGCAAAACATGTATGTGACATTTAAGACTTAGTTTAATAAAATGTGCTTTTGACGGGGCCTGCCAACCCCGCACTGAACAAGGGGGAGCAGAGCACACCTATTGGGTGGAATACGCCCTTTCTCCACAGCCCTGCTGGGCATGCTCCCAGTGCAGCCCAGGTATAAAAGCCTGTAGAGCAGCTCAGTTGGCGCTGACCTCCAGAGGAGAAGGAACTACTGCCCAACCACCTGAGCCATAGCCGCCACAACTGGAGTGAGAGACACAGGACCAGTGGACTGCGCAACTAACATCCCCGGGCCGAGCTCAACCGCAACGCCGGCTGCACCAAACAGCCCCCCTGGACACTGTCGCCGCACCAGTGGGGCTGCACCCGACACTGGGCCTGCCAACGTCACTACTGCCACCCGACCCACAGCTACAGGTAGGACTGCCGCCAGCCAGGGAGTCGGGGTAGGAAGCAACCCAGGGCGGGGAGCAGGAAAAGCCCCGGCGGACTTGGCGCATTTCAGGGAGAACTCCCCACCAAGCCAGTGGCAGGAACCACCTACCACTGATAGGGCCCTGGGTTGGGGCCCGGTGGAGAGGGCAGGCCTGGGCCCCCTTACCCCTTCTTCCCAGATCCCAGACTAGGAGCGGGTCCAGTGAAAGACTAGGCCTCCGGGCCTATGGATGGAGGTCTTGGCCCCAGGGTCGAATGGTGTGGGACTAAGTACCCTGCCACATTGCGCGCGCGCGCGTGTGAGTTCTTACCACTCCTAATGTACTTCTGCTGCATCTGCAGCTTGACAGAAGTAATGAGTACTATGTACTATTTCCTAAATTAATAAAAATCAGGTTATTTTAAACATTACACAAAGTATACCCAACTAGATATTCTGAAATGCAGTACTGAGTTGTAAATTAATGTTTTAGTGATCAAGTTCCACTAATATTTAAGAAATGTGTGACAAAGTATCAACTCAAAACTTGATTTAAATCAATGATTTTTTCTTGATAATTTAAAATGTGGGTTAAATCAACGGATTTAAATCACCTTTATTTAAATCAATCCACCTTGTCTCAAACACAATGGTTTTCTCTAATGAGCAGCAAATACAAGCACTCTAGGCATCTACAAACACTCATCGTAACACCAGGGAACAATCTTTCAAAACTAAGTTTATTCAGTATCTACCATGGTGATCTTTTCTGTACGAAGTTATCAGTTCCTCATTATTCACAATCAATGTTCTAGAAATGTACATCTGTTCTTCACTCCCTCCCCCCACTCCCACTCCCACTCCCACTCCTTCCCCTATTTATTTTTGGATCTGGACTTTTAATACTCCATTCATCTGAAGAAGTGGGTTGTACCCACGAAAGCTCATACCATCTATATATTTTGTTAGTCTTTAAGGTGCTGCTATCATTGTTTAAGTTTTTCCTCCTAACTGGTAAGAGCTAGGGAAGTTAAATATCAGTTAACAGAATAGTCAATTAACCTAATGAATTCTGATTGGTTAGTTGACTATTCTATAGTCCTTGGGCAGCCCCTGTCTGGGGGGCAAGAGGTCTGAGCTCCCAGACCAAGCATGAGCCAGAACTGAGCAGGGAGCACTGCCCACCTGGCTCCCAATACACTTTAAATGCAGAGCAGCACCAGAGGTAGATCCAGGACCCAGTGCAAGCTGGGACTGAGCTGGGCTGCCAGCCAGCCTGCTAAAAAATTTACTGGCAGGGGGTGAGGTAAATACGTGAAGTCTACAGCATTAAACTATAAGCTTTTGCTTTTGGGTTAATCGACTACTACTATTACATCCCTAGTAAGAGCTAGGACCAAATTTGGTATGCAGCTTTCTCTTCCAACAAGGTCAGGATTTGATTGTGCCAGGAAAACTGGAAGTGCTGGGTATGAGACTGTTTTCCATGGCATGGAAAGGGAGGGACTGCTCAGAAGGACACTAAACTCTGAGCGGCCACTGGGGGCAGCAAGCCTGCAGGGGAGAGCTATACTGCAGAGTGACAAGTATCAGAGAGATAGCCACGTTAGTCTATAAGGTGCCACAGGACTTCTCGTTGTTTATGCAGATGCAGACTAACAGATTTATTGGAGCATAAGCTTTTGTGGGCAAGGATCCACTTCGTCAGATGCATGTCACAAAGTGGGTCCTTGCCCATGAAAGCTTATGCTCCAATAAATCTGTTAGTCTATAAGGCGCCACAGGACTTCTCGTTGTCTAGACTGCAGAGTGACCATTGGGAGCAGCCATACCATGAAGAGAGTGGTCAGCTGGGTTGGGGCTTAACATCTTATCCAGTCTGGTGACAGGTAAATGGGCCTCCCACCCAAGAGAGAGCCCCTATCGCCCCCACCCCACTCCAAGTGGGAGAGGGTGAGAGCCTCTGTCGCCCATCCCAGACCAGGGAAGGGGAGAGAAAACACCCACCAGCATCCCAGGGACAAGCTAGAGGGCAGGTGCACAACCCGCACTGCTTCGGGCCATCCCTAGGGTGTAGCCAGCAGCCATCTGCACCCCCTCTTCTGAACCCCTGCTGACCCTCCACCCACACCCCAGCCCTGAACCCCTCCTCACCTGCCAAACCTCAATCACTCCCTGCCCCCACATCCCCAGACCCTGTGATAAGCCCTCTTTCAACCCCCCCACCCTGACTCCTGCATCCTCTCATGCCTCCAGCCCTGAGCCCCTCATATCTCCAAGGCCTGGCCCTGACTCCTGCACCCTCCACGCTGTCAGCCCCATGCCCTGAAGGACCCGGGTAACACCAGGTAAGTGACTAAGTGCTTTAAATACTAGCCAAGAGCATTTCCATTTTACTTCACTAGACTTACCCAGCATTGCCTGAGTCCTTCAAAACAGTGGGCTGGCAGTGTGGGGGGTGCAAGAGTCAGAGAATGGGCTTAGGGATGGGTGGGGATTACAAAACAGAGGTTTGGGGGATGAGGACGGGGCTCAGAGTGTGGGGGGAATCCTATCTGCATGGGCCATTTTCTTTCTCTCAGCAGCCCCCAGTCCAACTGCCAGGGGCCATTTTCCTTTCTCCCCCCCCAAACTCCTCCCCTATGGCTGCCAGGGACCTTTTTTCTCCCTCCCCCATCACTGCAACCAAATGCTGGGGGAGGGGAGGGGATTTGGGGCAGGTGGGCTACTTACCTGGTGTGCTGGCAGGCAAGATGACAGAGCTTCTGCCATGCTGGCCGCTCCCTTGGTAATGTGGCTGCCCCCACTTTACACTCTGCAGGATAGTTCTCCTCTGCAAGCTCGCTGCCCTCAGTGGCCACTCTCATATCGCTTCCATATGAACAACAGCCTTTCCATGTTATGGAAAACAACCGGAAGTGCTGGGAAAGGGATTGTCCTGACACAACTAAACCATGACCTTACTTTAAGTTAAGAGAAGAGGAAGCTGTATGTCAAATTTGGAGGCCTTAGCTCTTACCTTTTAGGAAGAATTCTTAAACGGACTTGCAGACACACTCTAAAATATACATTTTTGTGCACAAGATACTAATAATATGTGACCGTAGCCGGGCTATGGAGGCTGCTAAGACATCACAGATTCCATGCATAAGCCACAGTATTACTTTTGGCCCATTTCTACTAACTGGAGCACTGTACCAGCACAACAGTTTCCAGTAACCACAGGGCACATGTTCATAGCATACCAAAGACTTTCTATTTTAAACAAAACAAAGGCATTATTCCTGAATGCAAGTCTGATGTTTCAGAGCTATGTAGAAAAACCATTTGATGGGCAAGATCAGAGCAGTAACTGGTCATTACAGGACAATTTTCTCAATTTGCAGGACAGAGTTCAGAAAATCTTTACTTTTAACATTACAAAACAATTTACCTAAAGTTTATTTACCTAAAGTGCTGGCATATATGATACTAACTGAGGATTAGCCAGGGGTCATCAACCTTTCAGAAGTGGCATTCTGTGATTTAACTTATTCATCTATTTACAGGTGTGCATGCCATCGATAATTTTGAAAGTCAGTAATAGTCCTCCTTACAGCAGCTTCATTAACAAATAAAGATGCAGCTCTTACCATCTTTGTAACACAGGATTTTTTAAAGAGTTTTAGATATCTGCAAACAATCCAAAAACATTCTCTTAAAAGAATCTTTTTCTTTCTTACTTTAGGATACACGGGCTTAATTCTTGGCTCCATCCCAGACTTCTGGAGCGAGCTCAGGTAAGCCCCCAAAGCAGTGATGACCAACCAGTAGATCAGTGTCTACTGGTAGATCTTGGAGCCTCTGACAGGTGATCCTGACTGGTTTGGCCAAGAGGCTGTCAAGTGCCAGCACTTCAGCTGCCCCTCTCCCTACTGCTGCGCACCTCCTGCCCTTTGCCTTGGAACTGCCTCCCCCCCCCTCCGGGAGCCTCCTGCTTGCTGTGCAGGGCAGGGGAGGGAGAAGAGGGGCGCTGATGTCAAAGTGCCCCCACTCCAACACTGTATCCTTTCTCCACAGAGCAGAGAGGGGACACAACAGGACTGGGGATGGAGTTTGCTGGCTGCTTTTGGGAGTGGTGCAGGGCCAGGGCAGGGATGAACCTGCCTCAGCCCAACTGCACCACCACCCAGGAGCCACCGGAGGTAGGCAGTGCCCAGCTGCAGCAAGCTCTGAACGCCTGCCCCAGTCATGAACACCTCCCCTCCAGCATCCCAGTTCTCTGACCTAGGCCCGAGCCCCCTGGACCCAAACTCCCTTAAAGCAAGACTATGTAGCATGCTTAGAGCCTGAGCCCAGAACACCCTGCTGTACCCAACTCCCTGTCCCAGTCTTAGCTCAGAGCCCTTCTCACACTCCAAATCGCTTAGCGCACCCCAACCCTCTGTCCCTGCCTGATGAAAGGGAGGGAGAATGGGGGAAAGAGGGAGGGAGGACAGAGTCGGCAGGGGCAGGGCTTCAAAGAAGGGGCACAAAGGAGGCGGACAAGGGTATTTGGATTTGAGATAGATCTTGGATTGCACTTAAATTCAAAAAGGTTAGAGACCACTGCTCCAAGGGCACATCTACACTACAGCTGGAGGAGTTACAGCTCAAGGAGACTTACACCCACTATCTTTACCTGATCTAGTGCGCTGAGGGTAGGTCTGCACTGCAGTTAAATACTCCCTGCTTTAGGGTGTGAAGCATACACACCTCCTGGTAGCACTAAGCGGAGATGAAGATTCACCCAAGTGTCTGAGTGTAACACTGAGCTGGTTGAAATTTTTAAAGGTTTCCCCCCCTTTTAGGGAGCAAGAAAGGTATCTTTTCTAAAAGAAAACTGCCTCATACCAAACTGTCAACACTGTCAAAATGGTTCTTCTTGTTTAAAAAATATCATGCCTTTTCACTAACTTAAAACTTCAAAGTCTTTTATAACTAGTTAGCACCAGTTTTTGGAGGGCTTTTTGTAAAGGAAAAATTTCACTAACTTCTTTGAGGATCGGGGAGAAATAGAAAAGACATAGGACATTTTGAGAGAGGGAAAAAATAAAAAATGGATCCATGTGGCACACTTTGAAATGAAAACATATTCATAAGTTAATGCTTTGTTTTTCCCCTTCATGAAAATAGGTCATCATATTTCAGCCAGTTTTGATAACACAGGGAAAAATAATGAGTTATGCTTTTGTTGACAAGTCCCATCAGAGCCTTTAGCTCTGTTTTTTATATCTAGACCCAGATATAAAGAGAGAGTGCCTAAGGAGGCAGATACATGCCTAACCTGCTTTCCACTCCAGGAAACCCCAGATGTCTAAATCCCATTAAAAGTCAAATGAAAATGAATGCAATTCCCATTAGGCACATATTGGTCTCATTAGGTGTTTGTAAATCTAAGCCATTAACACCTCCTTATCTTTCTGCTTCTTTTCAAGCACAGATCAGCTTAGCAGCTGCTTGACAACACCCCACCCCCACCAATCAGATGAATTCCCTGCCTGGGCCCCACCTGCTGTGAGGCTAAAGCCCAAGCCACTGCACGGGGTAGGGGAAGGGCTGAGGTACCACCCACATGTCAATGAAAATTGGCTCACATGCCACTGATAGCACCCATGCAGTAAGTTGCAGACCTCTGGGCTAAGCCAATAAAAACTGCTACACAAAAATCATATTGCATGGTTCCATTAGAACAGCAGTTCCTACCCACCGGTCCACGGACTGGTGCCAGGACATGAACCACTGGCTGCGGGGCTACAGCAGCTGCTGGAGCTGAAGTCAGCTGATTTTGCCCAACAGTGGTGCTGGGGCTGAGGAGGCAGCAGGAGAAGGTAGAGCAGGAGGCGCCTCCCTCCTCCCACCCAGGTAAGATGGTGGCCTGGCAAGGGCTCCACTGCCCCCACCTATGGGGCACAAGACGCACTTGAGGAGGGAAGGGGTCTGAAGGAAGAGGGAGCGCATGCACTGCCAATGGCTACTGCCCCTGCCCGTGCCTGTGCGTGAGTTACTGCCACGCTCACTAGAGGGGGCAGCCTCGCTCTGGAAGGTGTGGGCGTGGGGTCAAATGGGTGTTGGGTGAGGGCATGGTGGGGTCACAGGGCAAGAGGGTGTTGGCATGGGCTGTAGGGGTCAGAGGTTAAAGGGACAAAGGGCACAGGATGGGGTGAGGGTCAAAGGGTGTTAGGCACTGGGGAGCAAGGGGCTGGGTTGGGGCTAGGGGAGGGCAGGGGTTAGAGGTCAAAGGGCAAAAGGGGGTGGGTTGCAGTGAGCCCGTGGTTATGGAGCCAGGTGCGGTGTAGCTCATACTTCTGACTCGGGGGCAGCAGATCTAAGGGCATCTTAGCAGGGTCGAGGGGCCTCAGAGTTGTAGGGTCAGTAGGGCAGGATCAAGGTTTGGCACAACAGACAGTCATGAAGTTTGTAGAGCATGGGGCAACAGGGGTGGTGGGACAGGATCAGGAAGCACTGGGAGTGATGGGGCAGGGTCCAGGGAAATGGGAGGTTATGTTTAAGTCAGGGGTTGCTGAGACAGCATGTCAAGTTTGATAGTCACAGTGGATGCAGGACAGACTCCAGGCAAGACAGAGGTAGTTGACAAAAGGAAGTTGGGGTAAAGGGGGTGCTGGGAAGTAGGAGGCAGTGGGCACTGGGGTGACAGGTTTGGCAAGACAGACTTGTGAGGTAACAGAGTTAGTGGGAGATAGGGGATATCAGATGATGGGTTTGGCAGATTTAATAATACAGAGACAGTACCAGGTATCAGAGGCATAGCCATGTTAGTCTGAATCTGCATAAACAACGAGAAGTCCTGTGGCACCTTATAGGCTAACAGATTTATTGGAGCATAAGCCTTCCTGGGCAAAGACCCACTTCATCAGATGCATGTCAAGAGTACCAGGATTGGCTGGATGGAGTCAGAGGGTTCTGAGGTAGAAGGATATGCACTGACAAGACAGGGTCAGAGGGTGAGTGGGTTGGTGGACAGGAAACATTTTCTCTGTATATTCATTATTTGCATACTAAATATGCAAATAAAATGTTACCCATCTGCCAAAAGTTTGTGAATGGGTTTGATGGTTCATAGTATAAAAAAGGTTGGGAACCACTGTATCAGAAGATAAACTATAACTGAACACAAGACTAGAGCAAAGAATTCACCATATTAAATCTAGTACTTTGCTGTAGTGAGGGATAGAGGACAAATTAGTGCCTTAATGACAGACCATTGTAATACAAAAAAAATGCTGTGCGCTGACCGAACACTTCTCAGTCTTTCCCAGAAGCAGGCTGCAATGCCCATGCTCAGAGTTGCATTGTTCATAGCCTCCAATACAGTGCACCCACATCACCATGACAGCTACAAGGTATAAGAACTGAATGCAGAATCACAGAAAGTGTAAAAGCGGCGAGGAGTCCTGTTGCACCTTATAGAGTAACTGAAGCATAGGAGCATAAGCTTTCGTGGGCAAAGACCCACTTAGTCTGAATCTGCAAAAGCGGACATGCATCTGACTAACACGGCTACCTCTCTGATACCCAGAAAGTGTAGCACTCTGAACCAAGGCTAAACGAACTAAAATTACACCATTCCTCATAAGAACTTGAACAATTGCTTACCAATGTCCAATGACTGGGAATTCCACAACTACCCTTGGAAACTTACTCCAGAAGTTTTTCCTAACATTTAATCTAAACCTTCCTGGCTGAAAAGTAAGCTCATTATTTCCTGTCCTGTTTTTAGTGAACATGAAAGTCAAAGAAGATGACATTACTCAGTTATAACAGCTCTTAACCATGGCTCCCTCTAAGCTATGCACGTCCATGACCCCACACAGAGAATTTTAGGCCCACCCACCTCATTTTCAGAGCCGCATAGCATTCACATGTAGAAAACACCCCCCAGGACAGAAGCTTAAGTGCTGAAAAGCACCTGTATAGACAGCAGCTCCTGGCTATAAAGTTTCCACCTCTCATTCAGATGGGGTTGTTTGTTTGTTTTTTTAAATTGGCAGAAGAATTCACTCCCAGCAATAAAGCGGGACACTGTAGTGCTGCTGCAGCTGAGCTATGACACAAGCAGTATAGATGCACCTTTTGAGAGCATTCATGCAGTTTAGCTGGGCATCTCTCTGAACATTGGCTGAGTGATCACAGCACCTGGAAGAGTTTGCTGCTCATCACTAGCATGGCATTTGATGTCTCTGCCCTGGGACAACTTAGTCCATGACTACATAGCAGGCAGTCATTTCCAAATACTACCAAAATAACATCAAGCTGGAAGACTTCTTACTTTGACTTCTGAAACAAAATACAGGACTATGTAGCACTTTAAAGACTAACAAGATGGTTTATTAGATGATGAGCTTTCGTGGGCCAGATACTTCCTCAGATCAAATAGTGGAAGAAAATAGTCACAACCATATATATCAAAGGATACAATTAAAAAAATGAACACATATGAAAAGGACAAATCACTTCTGTAACCCTCATTGTACAAGGAGTAAAGGAAGTCAGAGAAAGAGTGCTCTATTTCGAAATAAGTGCTGTGCTCCTAATTTTGAAATAAGCTAGACAATTGATGTATCTCAATTTGCATGGCTTATTTCGAGTTAAGCCCTACTGTGTAGGCTCACCCTTACTGAATAGTAACAAAATAAATGTAATTATACTACTAGGAAATAAATGTGTAACATACTTTAAGAGACAACAACATTCAGTGGGAACAGTATTCTTCAATCAGTAGTGATGGTGCTACAGTTAACATGGACAAATAGCAGCCTTCTTACCTAGAGGGAAATACAATTACAGAAGCAATTACATAAAATCATAGACTAGTAAAATTCATTAAACCAATAATTTAATTATACTATACATTAATACAATGCAAATAATTAACTATGAAATATTTTATAATCCATCAGCCTCTGTGTGGACTGTGAACTTAAAAAAAAAATTATGAACCACCTTTTTGCAGCAACCTAAAGTAATTAAAATAAGGAAAAAGTAGACCATTACCATCAGAATAATTTAAGTGAATTTTTACCACTATTAGT